TCGCCGGTAGTAAACTATAACTTAAATTCGGGCACGGACTCCACTGTAAAGTGCTCATAAAACATTTTCTTTACTTTCACTGTAAAAAACTGTCCATTTTCAAGGAATACATTTCGATTTATAAACTTTATAAACTGTGTTTATAAAATATAAAAAATTGACATTTGACGGTGACACACAGATTCCCCTATTGTTTCATAGATGGCGCTCTATACACATATTTAATTTAATTCATATTATGATAATAATACGTATTTGTCGTTTATAAACTTTTCTATACACTCATTAAAATGGCGTTTATCAAACTTGATACATAATATACTATTATTCTACAAAATTATCGGTTTAAATTTCTAAAAAGTAATTTAAATGTTAGTCGATAAATTTTTTAATACAAAAATTCTCACATTACATTTAAATGTTAGTTTTAAATTTCAAAGTGGTAATTTTTGGATTAAAATTTTATAACTATTATTTAAATGACTCTTGAAAAATTTAAACCGATGATAACTTTTGTTTAACAATTTTAATTTGATATATTTTTAACACAAAATTTATAACTTATATTTATATAATTCATATACCTAAAGTTCTGTCAAAAAATAGGGGGACTTAATTACAAAATTGACACAATGATACAATGCAAATTGTAAATTTACCTATAGTTATAGTTATATGATATAATTAATGGTTTTTATCGTGCATATTATGCTGCGTATTTTAATGGTTTTTAGTTCATACGTTTTCCATCCTTACTAATACCTAATAATGAAGAAAAACTAGAATAATAAAAAATTGTCATTAAATCGGGAAAGTAAATAATGAAGACTTGAAGAGAATTCGAATCGTTATCGTCATGTTTAGGGTTAAGTGTCCTTAAAAAATCCTGAAAAATTGGGGGAAACGGTTTTTTTCCGTTTTTTGTTCAGGTTTTGGAAAAATTGGCTTTTCTTGGGAAAAATTGAATATTTATTATTATTATTATTATTATTATTTTAATAAAAAAAAATCCTTTATTACAGAAAAAAAAGAAAACTAAACATAGAATTTAATTGATTTAAGAAAATAAACGTAAACGTTAAATATACTGTCGGTTGGGTCCTTTTTGCAAAAGGGAGTCCACTGAAAATATCCAATTAAAAAATAATAAATGATTTATTAAGTTAAATTACAAAATTATAATTTACTAAATCGATGTGTTAAATAAAACGATAGTTATGTTAATATAAAGCCAAATATGTTTTTTGCGACCCGGTAGAATATTCATACTGAAATAAAATAAAAGGAATAATTATTATAATCATAATATTATATAATTATCATCAGCGTCGGAAATTTTCTTTTTTCTCGATATCGGTGTATGGATATATCCGATATAATATATAATATAATATCGATATTATACGTAAAAATTTGTAAATTTTCCATAAAATATTCTTTCGCATTTTTTTGGTATTATCCTTTAAATAAGTAAAATGAAAATAATGCAAAAGTCAATTTTTCTAAAAAATTCCCAATTTTTTCGAACAAAACCGGTTTTTTGTCGCCGGCTCAGTTTTTCCGGAAATTTTCAAACCCTAGAAATGTTTTATGATTTTGTTGTATTTCGTTTTTTCTTCGATAATTGTTTAAATACCGACTGCATTTTCGAGTGATTTCAACATCAATCAAATTGATAGTCATCAGAAAAAGTTTTACGATTTTTGTTAAATTAATCCTAACTTTTTAAAAGTCATACATATAATGGAATTTGTATAATGGAATATTCTTGGCCCCTGGCAAAAAATGCTCTAGCTACGCCATTGATTATTTTATCTCAAATTCGTGTCCCTTAAAAAAAATATTATAAGCAGTCGAATAAATATTTGAGATTTTTATTTTGAAAAATTATGCGATTAATCTTACTTTTTTCCTTTACGTTTTAAGTCGGCAAAATCTTAAAAAAAATTAAAGTAAATCACCCCCATTAATCGGAACCATCGCGATGCATCGCCCATTATAATTAAGATGATCCATGTTAATAAAATGTTTTAAAACATAAAAAAATGAAAACCTAAGGTATACCTTAAAAAAAAAGTTTCGGGAAACCCTGTACACGGAAAGAAATTTTGAATACGATTAATCCGCTAAGGTAGTATTACAATCAAATTTTTGATCAATATAGCGCCAATCCAAAATTAGACTAATATCAATAATTCATTCGATTAAATTACTTGCTATGCTTAAATGCATCAAACCGTGATAAATAGCAGCAAATTAGTTTTATAAATCACAACAAAATTTGGAATAATAATAGTAAAAATTAAATTAAATTGGTCTACGATATTCTGGAATTTAAATAATATTTTCTTTAATTTACCAATTTTTGGATTCAATTAAGCTCTTTTTAGGTCAGTTTAATCTATTTTTTAAGTAGTAGTTATCAAAAATTTGGCAAAATTAAGAATAATTAGGATAAAGTTTATCAGATCATTTGATTGATTTGTGCAAAATAGTTAGTAAAAAATATATTTAATTTATCTAATTTTAATCTAATAATTAAATAAAACTTGTTTGATGTGGTAATTATTTTATTCAATATTTGATTATTGACTGGAATATTGATTTTCGTAATAATCTGTGATAGTGGGGTAGGTAAAGTATACTAAATTTTGTGTCTATAAATACTTATTTATTTCAGTTTCAAACTTTCATAAAAAAAGAACTTAATATAATAATAATTTATAAGTAGGTACAAAATACAAAAATAATAATGGTTTAACAATTGCTTTTTATGTTTGATTGACTAATATAATGTATAAGTTTTAAAATATTTGCGTTTAATTTAAAACTTTAAAAACAACATTTAAAATTTAAATTAACGGCGGCAAATATATCAAAGATGATGGCCGGAGATATCTCACGTGGTGCGCACAACAGTCCCTATTTCGTTTGCATTCCAAAGAAATCGACGTCCACTTGACAGTTATAATGCTCTGTAAAAATGAGGGTAGAAACATACCTATAAAAATGGTTTATTTGTTACTTACCTTTAATATTCTCAATAATAACGATGGTTTAAACAAACTAAAACCGGACACATACTCACACGATCGTTTAGAACTCACTACACGCGAAGAGCAACTGCAAACTAAGACGCGTTAAAAACAAAAAATTGGCATGTTTGCTAAATTTGCTCCTTATATTACGGATTTGGTCAAAATAATAGCTTGATTTTAGCGGACTTTTATTAATTCAATCAAATATTGGATAGTCGTATCAAAAATTGGATAGAATTAGTCTTATATTTGATTAATGTTAGTACATAATTTATAGGTCTTTTTCTAATATTCAGTAAATTTTTTAAATAATTTCATCCAGACAGGATTATTTTAATTTAGCATGTAGAGATATTAAGCAAATATTTTATTGATTTTATTCCAAATGTAGAGGGTGTTTTCGTATACGTATATATAAATGGGACACCCCTCTAAAATCTTTATTTGAAGATAATATAATATATTATATTATATTATATTAAAAAATCCAGCTTCAAGGGCTACAAAAGTAATTTTTTTGACAAAAATTACAAAACAAAAAAGCATCGGTAAAATAGATACCTATAACATTGTTTTTCTGAAGAAAAAACTATTTAAAAATGTACATGGTGTTTCATTGAAAAAAAAACAATGTCAATGCTATTTTATTAAATTTACCGATTTTTGTAAAAAAATTACCCTTTTAAACCATTCAAGCTGGATTTTAAATTTTTTTGATATTTCTTTAAATAAAGATTTTATAGGGGTGTCCCATTTATAAGAAAACATCCTGTACTTACTTATACTAGTAAAAATAAAGTTAAATCCATTTAGTTTTATTTATATAATATTTGATAAAATTAATCCAAATTGGAATATAATAATAAAATCCAAGAGTTGATCTGAGTATCTTTCCTAAGAAAATTAAGCTTAACGTTACCTAAAGCCAATCTTAATATTTGATTGGTTTAAGAAAAACTTTTTCTGTGACCAATCTAAAATTTTACTGTTCCTAGAAAAAAATTTATTAAATGTAGCACTTAAACGATTATGTCTATCTAATGATGTTAATTTTAATATGATGATATTAATCATTTGCAAAATGTACAGATTTATCGTAAAACACTAAGATTTGTCAGTTTTTTTCTTGATATATTCTATTTTAGATTAAACTAATTTATTTAGGATAATTTTTGACTTTTCTTAAATTAATAAATGGATTTGATTAATTTTATCATAACATTTCTTTCCGTGTAGGTTTTACAAAGTATAGCTTCGTATTCTTCATTTAATGCTAACCTCAGCTCTGCTAATGTAGGCTTGATGAGACGGTAACGAACGCGTCTTTTTAATTCATCACACAAATGATCAATTGGGTTGAGATCTGGGCTGCATGGTGGCCATTCCAACCTCCGAATTCCAACATCCAGATTTATCGTAAAACAGTTTAGAAAAAGGTTGATTTGCATGTTTTTTCCACAGGGTGTTTTAAACTTACGGATAAAAACAACATTTTTATTAACCCTGGTATATAAACCTTTAAGCATCCAAAATTTCATCAGGATAAACTGCAGCGCAATCTAAATGAATTGATCTATAGTCCAGCGAAAAAATCATTGCAATAAAATCAAAAATAAAAAAAATTGTCAAAATTGTCAAAAAAATTTAGGTGCCGGTTTTTTTTGTCGGTGAGTGTATATTAATTCTATTGTGTTAAAAATAAACATTAGTAATAAAAATCAAAAAAACTAAAAAATTTGAGTGGACTTTCTGGGACACAAGAGATATGTTAAATATACATATAAATTTTTTACTGTGTAATAACTAAATTTCTTTAATAAATATTGTAAACAATCATTTAACTTTTATATGGGTAGAGTCGTATATTCTGGCGAAGCATCGGCAACGTCGGACCCGGGGCAGACTCGGCGCCGCCGCCGCCGGGATGCACGTTCCTCGGAACCCCATGCGTTCAGTTGGGTAGTCGCGGCGCCGGTGTAAAACCGTACAATGTTCAGCTGTTTCAGCTGCATTTCCCGCCTGACCAGTTGAGGGCCACTTAAGGCCGCTCCTCCGACACCATGGGGAACGGCATGAACAAGGCAAGTGTCAATTCGTTAAGCCCTAGGCACCTTTCACACTTTTTCGACACTGGGTCAGTAGTTTTCACACAAAACGCGCAATATTTTCGGGGTTTTGTTTCATGGTTGCATGTCATGGAGTAACTTTGAATGTTATGAAATCGAGCTAGCTGATTTAACTTTTATCAAATTTTTAGTTTTAAATGCAATTTTTTGTAATCCTAATCGTTTATAGATATATATATTTTTTTAATTTAGCATTTAAAACTATTTTCATACAAAACTAGTTTAGGTGATGAAGTTAAATGATAGCAACCAAAAATATTTTAAATTTATAGACAATTACCAATGTTAATATGATTTATAGTTTATTTTTAAATTAATTGCTAGGACTTTATTTGTCACCATAGAAAAATAGTTTGTTTCTTAAGTTATTATGAAATGGATTTTTTTTCTCTATTTTTTATAAAATATTTTACGTAATATTAAAAAATCATAAATTTATATTTTTATTCAAAAAAATAAAAACAAGTTAAACTTATTTTTTTAAAATATTATTTGTTTAAAGCAAAGTACTAAGAAAAACTTATTTGATAATTTGAATTTTTTTGTTTGACACTGGGTGGCAATAACTTTTTTGTGTGGTGTTCTTATCTTAGAGAACCCTTTTTTTCGACATGCAAACACTAAAATTAGTATATAGGTACTTATATTTTCTTAATCAAATTTGATTGTATAGATATATATAAATATACAGGGTGTCCCGGAAAATGTGGGAAATCTCTCGGATTCAGATAGAACATTAAAAAATAAGATGACAAGTTCCCATAATTTTTTTTCCTAGCGGCCCTCCCTACGGAGATACGGCCTCCTAAAGGACGCCACTGGAAATCAGTTTTTCTTGAATAACTTTTAAACTACTAAATATAATTTAATGAAAATTTAATATAATATACAGTAGTAAGGACCTCTTAAAATACTGCCCTTAAAACATAATTAGCTTGTTTAGTTTACCAGGGGCGGACTAGGTTGTATATTTTAATTTTAATTACATTTTTAACACCCTGTATGATAGGGAGTTAAAAAAATAAATTTGGATACCTTGAACATTAAGCTAAAGAAAAGGTACTCCTGTTTATTGTCGATAAAATTAACCGTTTTCGAGAAAAAAAATAATAAAGAATTACTGTTTTATTTTTATTAAAAAGACCATGATTTCTAATTTTTTTTCTACAAGCGGAAAAGTGCAACTTTCCGCACGATTATGCGTGTGGAAACAAAAAAAATAAAACTTAAAATGGAAACCGATAAAGAAAATTTCGAGATTCTCTGCTTGTAGACACTTTCCGCACGCTTGTAGAAAAAATGTTGTACCTAACACTGTCTGCAACAAAGTGTGATTCGAAAGTAATTGAAATAAAATTGTCATTAGCATTAAAAAACGCACTGTTTTTACAAACGTTACTATGGTACCTACGAAATAATAAATATCTTGCATTGACGTGTGTATTTTAAATCTTGTCATCTTTCATATTGTTAGCACGTTGATCCTTTACTTCGATATTAATTTATTGAATTTTGAATATCTTGGTAAATTTAATTAAATAATGGGATACACATTTACTGAGTATGCAAATATGCATCTTATGTACGGGCTTGCATCTTGCAATGCTTTGGAAGCAAGAAGGTTGTATGAAGAAAGATATCCTGATGGCAATATTCCAAATCAGAAAACATTTCAGCGACTTGATCAACGTCTAAGAGAGACTGGTGGGCGATTCTCAGTTAATAAGGCAACATTATTGACTTTCTTTAATAATTTTTAGGAAGTTTTGGGAAAACAAGTACTGATGCTGGTGTGAGAAGAACAGTACGTACGGTGCAATTGGAGGAAAATATTTTGGATAGTGTAGCTGATACTCCTTCAATAAGCACTCGAAGATTAGCCTCGCAGCTTCATACGTCAAAAACGATAATTCATAAAGTACTTAAAGAACAGTTGTTACAACCTTATCATTTGCAAAAAGTGCATCAACTACTTCCTCAAGATTTTCCTCGTGGAATCCAGTTCGCAAACTGGATGTTAGATCAGCAACGGACAAATCCAAACTTCACTAGCTCTATTCTTTTTACCGATGAAGCAGGGTTTACCAAAAATGGTATTGTAAAGTTACATAACTCGCATGTATGGGCTGATGAAAACCCTCATGCCACTGTTGTTCATCATTATCAATATCAGTTCCAATCAATTAATTTTTGGGCAGGAATAATTGGCAATTTTTTGATTGGACCATGCGTATTGCCGCCACGATTGAATGGTGAAATTTATTTACAGTTCCTTCAGAATGCTTTTCTGGATTCAATAGAGCATTTGCCAATTGAAACCCGCCAGCGCATGTATTTTATGCATGATGGAGCCCCACCTCATTTTAGCGTTGCTGTACGGGACTATCTGAATAACGTCTATCCAAACCGTTGGATAGGTAGAGGAGGTCCCATTGCCTGGCCTCCACGCTCTCCCGACTTAGCGCCAATGGATTTTTACCTGTGGGGACATCTCAAAACCTTGGTGTATTCCTCTCCGGTTGATACTAGGGAGGAACTTTTACAGAGAATCACATTTCATTGTGATGCGATAAGGAACAATGCTGGGTTGTTGTGGCGAGTACAGCAGTCCTCTATTCGTCGTGCCCGCGAGTGTATCAGAGTTCACGGAGCCCATATTGAACCCACTTATGAAGTTTTTAATTGATTATTTCTAATTTAATTTTTCTGTACATTATTTTTTAAGGTTGTTTTTAAAATAATTTCAAGAAAAACATATTTCTAAAAATAATTTTTGTTAAGGTGCCTTTCTGGGACAAAACTGAATTTTTAAGAATCTTGTAATTTTGTCGGATTAAATAACCTAAACTAAAACTTTTCTGTTTCTTGAATGACTTTCGTATCACACTTTGTTGCAGACAAAAAATTAGAAATCATGGTTCTTTTTAATAAAAATAAAACATTAATTCTTTATTATTTTTTTTCTCGAAAACGGTTCATTTTATGGACAATAAATAAAAGTACCTTTTCTTTAGCTTAATGTTCAAGGTATCCAAATTTATTTTTTTTAACTCCCTATCATACAGGGTGTTAAAAATGTAAGCATTAAAATGTACAACCTAGTCCGCCCCTGGTAAACTAAACAAGCTAATTATGTTTTAAGGACAGTATTTTAAGAGGTCCTTACTACTGTTTATTCTATTAAATTTTCATTAAATTATATTAAGTAGTTTAAAAGTTATTCAAGAAAATCTGATTTCCAGTGGCGTCCTTTAGGAGGCCGTATCTCCGTAGGGAGGGCCGCTAGGAAAAAAAATTATGGGAACTTGTCATCTTATTTTTTAATGTTCTATCTGAATCCGAGAGATTTCCCACATTTTCCGGGACACCCTGTATATATACCGGGTGTATCTGAGAATAGGCGTACCCCTGTAACTTTTTTATTTATAAATATGGACTCATGAAATTTTGCATGGTTAATTAGGATATAAAATGCCATTATAAGAGTACAAAACGAATTTTTTGAACTTCCGGTCTCGCCGAAAATGATACCAACTTTCGATTTTTAAATGGAATGCCCTATATATTTTTACATATTTGGAATCCTGAGAAATTTCTGAGTCGGGCAGCATCCTCAAATGGACCTTTTAACGTTTCGCCATCAGAAAATGTATCATCATAAAGATCAATCTAGAGTGTTTTGAACTATCTTATTTTCTTCTAATGGATCCACACAATGCCTGAAAAATAGAACTTGCCTTAAAAAGTTTTTATTCAGCTATTCCCAGCAGTCTAAACTTGTCAAAATTCGTTTTTCTCAAATAGTTCAAAGCACTCTAGATTGATCTTTATGATGATGCATTTTCTGATGACGAAACGTCGAAAGGTCAATTGACGGGATGCTGTTAGACTCAGAATTTACTCAGGATTCTAAATATGTAAAAATATATAGGGCATTCCATTTATAAATCGAAAGTTGATATCATTTCCGGCAAAAACGGAAGTTCAAAAAATTCATTTTGTACTCTTATAAGTGGCATTTTATATCCTAATTAACCGTGCTAAATTTCATGCGTCTATCTTTATAAAGAAAAAAGTTACAGGGGTGCGCCTATTCTCAGATACACCCGGTATATGAATATATGACTTTGAATCGGTGTGTCTTCGTTGATGTTCATTTGATTTGTACAAAATTTTCAGGGTATACTAAAAAAAAAAAATACGGTCTTTAACAGGATATTTTTTATTTACTTAAAAAAATTACCCTAAAAGTTGTTTTTCGAACGTTTTTTTCATTATTAAATAAAAGGGCTTTAAAAATATTGTCTCGAAAAACCCTCGAACACGTAAACTGAGATATAAGTTGAAGTATTTTTATCCAAAATTTCATACAGAATAATAAAGGCCTTTTAGAGTTAGATTTTTTTTACAGTGGTTCCAAAAATTATGGCCAACACTATATATACATAATTTTTCATGGGTAATTTTTGCGCCAGTTTAAGTTTGATTGATTTTGTCACTCTTAATTCCTTGAAAGGTTGTACGTTTTTTACAGTTTATTTAATATAATTGTTATTCACAATTCCTAGCTTTATTTCCTGCAGGCATGCATGTCCAGTTGTGGGTCTCCCAGGGGGAACGGCATGAACAAGACAAGTTTCAATTTGTTAAGCCTTAAGGGTCGTTTACACCTTTCCGCTAGTCTTCTATAAGAAGCATGATCTTTTAATTAAAACCACCGTTTTGCGGAAAAAATTCAATTACTTTTTTATTTAATAAGAAAAAAATAAATACTTATTCCATATAAATTATAAGAAATAAATAACTATTTAAAACTTATTACGCATAATTCAGTATATTTTAATTTAAAAATAAAGGTTTTTTTTAATTTTTAAGTGAGTTTTTTATCCACAATCAGTGGATAACTTTTTATAACAAATAAATATTTTTTTTTTGTTTTTAACTGTGTTAAGAAA